GAGTATATTTACGTGGCAAGTAAAGAAACTATAAGCGATGAAACTCATTGAACTCTTTGAATGGTAAAGACTTAAATTGAATCGATGAGCTTCTTAAAATTTTTATTTCTTAATTGATTCACTTTTTATTTTTAGAAATGTCGTTAAAGAAATAGGTTACATTTTCAGTAAAAGTTTTGGAGTTAGGTTGCACTAAAATCTTCTAATTAAATACTTTAATAAAGAGTTTATATTTAATAAAAGAAAGTATATGCGAGTTTAGAATGAAATGATCCTTAGAGATATATCTTCATTTCCTTTCAATATTCATAAGGAGATGATCCGAGTTTAGAAGCTACATAAAATGATAGACTCACTTAAGAATATTTGAGAAAATAAATTTTTAAATCATGCACAATCACAACAAAGTAAAACAAATAAAAAAGAACAACTAAGATTTAACGTGGGTCAGTAGTGTGCCTACATTCTCAGGTAAGACCGACAAGAAAAATTTTCACTATGATCAAAAGAGAGTACATTACCAATAGGTTTTCAGCCTAATATATAGAGAGACTATGAAAGTTTTTCTCTCATAAAACTCTTCAGGATATATATCAAATATTTTTTATGATAAATATAAAATATTTCTAAGATATACATAAAATATCTAGTATGATAAATATAAACTATTCCCTAAAATATAGATAAGGTATCTCCAAAATTCAAACCGCATTAACAAGAATATGGAGAAACCATAAGATTTCAAGTGTATATTTATGTGGCAAATAAGGAAAGTACAGGTGAGGAAACTCATTAAATATTTTGAATGGTAAGGACCTAAATTGAATTGATGAGGTTTTTAAAATTTTTATTTCTTAATTGATTTTTCACAGTCTTTTTGAGAAACGCCTTTAAAGAGATATGTTATGTTTTTTAGTAAACTTTTTGGATTTAGGTTGTATTAAATTTTTTTAATTAAATACTTTAATAAAGAGACTATATTTGGTAAAAAAAAGTGTAGACGAGTTTAGAAGGAGATGATCCTCAAATGTGTACCTTTAGTTACTTTCAGCATTCATAAGGAGATAATCAGAGTTTAGAAACTACATAAAATGACATACTCACTTAGGAATATGGAGAAACTATAGGATTTCAGGAGCATGTTTACATGAAAAGTAACGAAAGTATAGGTATCTTTACGTGACAAGTAAGGACAGTATAGGCAATGAAACTCATTGAATGCTTTAAATGATAAGAACTTAAATTGAATCGATGAGATTTTTAGAATTTTTATTTCTTAATTGATTCATTGTCTTTTTGAGGAATGCCTTTAAAGAACTAGTTTACGGTTTTTAGTAAACTTTGTGGATTTAGGTTGCACTAAAATTTCCTAATTAAATACTTGAATAAAGAGCCTATATTTGGTATGAAAGTATAGACGAGTTTAAAAGGAGATGATCCTTAGAGATATATCTTCATTTCCTGTCAGCATTCATAAGGAGATGATATGAGTTAGAAGCTTCATAAAATGACAGACTCATTTAAGAATATAGAGAAACCAACGAATTTCAAGAGTATGTTTACGTGGTAAATAAAGAAACTAGGCAAAGAAACTCGTTGAACGTTTTGAATGGTGAGGACTTAAATTAAATTGATGAGGTTTGTATTCACTATCTTTTTTAAGAATACCTTTAGGGAAATAAGTTACGTTTTTTAGCAAGCTTTTTGGATTTAGGTTGCATGAAATTTTCTAATCAAATACTTGAATAAAAAGCCTATTTTTGGTAAAGGAAAGTATAGACGAGTTTAAAAGGAGATGATCCTTAGAGATATATCTTTATTTATTTTCAGCATTCATAAGGAGATGATATGAGTTTAGAACCTACATAAAATGACAAACTTGTTTAAGAATATGAAGAAACTAACAACTTTTAGGAGTATATTTACGTAACAAGTAAGGAAAGTATAAGCGAGAAAACTCATTGAACATTTTGAATGGTAAGGAATTAATTAAATTGATGAGATTTTTAGAATTTTTATTTCTTAATTAATTCACTATCTCTTTGAGGAATGCTCTTAAAGAAATAAGTTACGTTTTGTAGTAAACTTTTGTGATTTAGGTTGCACTAAAATTTTCTAATTAAATACTTGAATAAAGAGCCTATATTTGGTAAAAGAATTTGCATGCGTTAAGTGATTTTGTAGTATTACATGGACGAGTTAATAGAATCAACATGAAAATATCTTTATGTTATCGACGTAAAATTTTTTAGTATTAATTAAGTATTTATCTATTTTATTTTGACTTAAAAAAATAGAAGTTATGTCAAAAGATAAAAAAAAAAAAAAAATTTATTTAAAAGAAAAAAAATATGATTTTATTTTGATGAACTTGAATAAAAAGCTGCAAATAAATACTTTTTGATTATAACTTATATTGCAAAATGTAGATCATAATTTAATATTTATATTTCACTTGTTTATTAACTAGATATTTTAAAGATAAATATACAATATTAATACAATATAATACTAAAATATATAAGATATTATATTATACTATTCACAGTATTTTTAATAACTCTTTTTTTCTCCGTCGTCTCAGTTGTTGGTTTTGACCTTATCTCTTGATATATTATCAATCTGTTTTTGAACACTAATGATTTGAATATGGTACTCATTCTCCCCTCACTAACAAAGCAAACCATGCACCTGTCGAGGGACTTTTATCGTTTTCGATTACTTGTTAGCTAGAGAGAATGAATATTTAATATAAACTACTCTTAATGAATAGGGTTTGATTTTCTCGATGACGCTTCTCAACTTCAAAGCTCGAGTAGATCGATATTTGGCGCAAGTTAGGGTCACAAATATAAAGTTATATAGCCTTTTATTTTCCATGTACTATGAAAATGCTATTTTATCAATATAATGGAATTGCTTACTTACCATACACCTCTTAAAACAATTTAAATCTCATTCCTACACGTCTCACGGTAAGCAAATCCTGCCCGTTTATGTGTCTTCATGTTGGCCGGAAAAGAGGATTAGCGTACGATTCAAAGTACAAAGAGGAAGCTCTAAGCACACTTGGCAAATCCTACGGGTTAAAAATTGCCACGTACGTGAATCTTAACGCTCTATATAATTTCACTAAATTTCAAATTTATCGACTTTTAATTTATTTTTTGTTATTTTTCGATCTAAACCCTCCTTACTCCCGTCAAAAGAAACCCTAGCTCTCTTCCGTTTCTCACGGTAAAATTGAAATTAACGAAAAACTAATATGAAAATTTCATAAATCTGTTGGGGGTTTCAAATCAAAATCCATTTGTTCGAATCGTAACTTTTTTCTTGTGTTCCTAGTTTTCGGATTCCTTGAAGAATTCAATGTTCCGTGATATCGACACAGGTATGCATTTTGTTTTCTATGATTTTTCGTTGATTTAGTTAATTTATTGCATGAACTCGTCATACTTGCTGAGGAAAATAGGTTGATCGATGAATTTTGAAAAGCTTGGCGGATTTTAGGGACTTCTTTTGATTTTTTGGGTTGGTTTTCGTGTTACAGATCTAAAAAATGTGTGCACGAGCATATGATGGAATGTGAAAATTGTGGTTTTTGGATTTTTGGTCTGTGGGTTGAGGATTGTTCATGGAAAATAGAATAAGAAACTCAAGTGGAGAGGAAATTCCGAAGAAATCAAGATCTTTGGATCTTAAGAGTCTGTATAAATCTAAGTTCACAAAGGAATCGCCAAAAAAGAGTTTGAAGAGGAAGGATAGCTCAGTAGCTGGTGATGGTGATAAGAAGAAGAAGATCAAAAAAAGTAGGAAAGCAGTTTCTCTCAGTAGTTTAAAAAATGTTGATAGTAATAGCAGAAAGAGTTTAGAGGATGTGCCCAATGGTGATGTGAGTGTGCATGATTTGCAGGAAACGAAGCTGGGTTTGGGTCAGAAATTGAATAATGGAAATGGTTTTAACTGCATTTCCCTTTGTTTGGATGATAGTGTCGTACAGATTCCAAAGCGAAAGCGTGGGTTTATTGGGAGGAACAAATTTGAGAGTAATCAAGCGTCGAAGCCAGCAGAGCAATCAACAAGTAAAACGAACCTGGTTAATCCTATAACTAAGATAGCTGATGAAGATTCAGGCTCTCAGGCTGAGCTTTCTAAGGTTACACTGAAGAAAGGTTTAGATGAATTAAAGGAAAATAGAAATAAAGGTTCAAATTCTGCTCAGAATAAAGAGGAGCGTAGGCAGGCTGGTCACTCAGCTGTAAATAATGGTGAATCCTCCTTGAAAAAGTCTTGTGGTAGTCACAGGAAAAGGAAAGCATTGGTACCAGGTAGCAAAAATCGTGCTCAGGATGCTGAGGCCTCAGTTGATACTTCTAGCAAGAAAGGAGATGATTTGCCAGAAGATGATGGGGACAACCTTAAAAAGAATGCTGTACATAATGGCGAATCCTTGTTGAGAAAGTCTCAAAGTAGTCACAGGAAACGGAGAGTATTGGCACTGGATAGCAAAACTCTTGCACAGGATGCCGATGCTCCTGCTGATACTTCTAGCAAGCGATGTGATGATTTGCCAGAAGATCATGAGGAGAACCTTGAAGAGAATGCTGTAAATAATGGTGAATCCTCCTGGAAAAAGTCTAGGAATAGTCACAGGAAAGGGAAGGCATTGGCACAAGGTAGCAAAAGTCTTGGACGAGATGCTGAGGCTTCTGTTGATACTTTTAGCAAGATAGATGATGATGAGGAGAACCTTGAAGAGAATGCTGCAAGGATGCTATCTTCACGGTTTGATCCAAGCTGCACAGGATTTGTTTCAAACAGCAAAGTTTCTGCTCCATCTATCAACGGGTTGTCTTTCTTATTATCTTCTGATCGGAAGTTTGTTAGTCGTGGATCTAAATCTTCCTCTACATCTGGATCTGTATCACTTGATGCTGCTGGTAGAGTATTGAGGCCACGGAAGAATCACAAAGAGAAAGGAAACTCCCGGAAGAGGCGCCATTTTTATGAAATTTTCTCAGAAGATTTTGATGCAGACTGGGTGTTGAACAGACGAATCAAGGTTTTTTGGCCTTTGGACCAGAGTTGGTATTATGGTCTCGTAAATGATTATGACACAGAAAGAAAGCTGCATCATGTGAAATATGATGATCGTGATGAGGAGTGGATTAATTTACATAATGAAAGATTTAAACTTTTGCTATTTCCCAGTGAAGTTCCTGGCAAGGCTCAGCGGAAAAGATCTCGGGTAAGTGACAGATATTCTCACAAGGGAAAAGGGAAACCCAACAAAGGTAAGGGAAAAGAGAAACTTGACTGTAGACGATGATAGTTGTATGGGTAGTTATATGGGACTCAGAACCTATCATCTCATGGGTTGACCCGATCTACACGTCGGGTCAAATCTTCTGCATTTCGTAGTATGAAGAAGCAAAAAACATCTAGCCAACCGCTGATTGATGCACCAACCTTACTATCTAGTGAAGCTGTGAGTGCAGATGGCTGTGTCACATGGCAGTTATTGAAAAGGGATAAACTTCAATTACAAATTAATTCTATGTCATTAGAAAAACTGGATGAGGTTAGGAGGTCCAATGAATCTGTGTCAAAGGGTTCAACTTGCCCAAAAAACAACAAACTTCCAATTGTTTATTTTAGGCGCCGATTTCGTAGGACAGGAAAAGCTTCTCCCAGTACTGCTGGAGGCAATAATGCTGGTGGGTTTGCATATGAACCTGCTACCTCTTTTGTTCCTGTTGTTGATAGGTTGTCGAATTTGGGAGAATATGATGCCGTGGGAAGTTTGGATCATCAGGCAGCCTTGTGGCTCAAGGATGATCTGGGACTGTTAAAATTATCTATTCCATTGATAGAATCAAAACAATTTAGATTTGACTTGAGTTTGTCTGCAGTTCCAGTTCTGAATTATTTGTTTGGAGCAGAGAATTTGTGGTTGTTCCGTGCAGAATTGCTGCTTCAATTTGGTACAGTGGTGAATATGTGGCCAAGAGTTCATTTGGAGATGCTTTTTGTAGACAATGTAGTTGGATTAAGATTTCTCCTTTTTGAAGGCTGTTTAAAGCAAGCAATAGCATTGGTATTCCAAGTACTAACTGTATTTAGTCAATCTACTGACCAAGGAAAGTGTGCTAACCTGCAGTTGCCGATCACGTCAATCAGGTTCAAACTTTCTTGCATCCAAAATCTTATGAAGCAGCTTGTGTTTGTTTTCTGTAACTTTGCCGGAGTGAAGAATTCAAAGTGGCTATACGTAGACAATGTGCTGAAAAGACATTGTCTGCTTTATAGGCACTTGCCTCTCTCAGAATGCACCTATGATAATACTAAGGCGCTTCAGAATGGGGCTAATCAGTTAGTCAGTTCTGTTGCTTGTGGGGATGCATCTTCTACAGAGGTATTCTTATTTTCATATTTTTAAAAAAGTTGAGAAGAAATAAAAACACTGCTTGTTTTGTTTCTGTTTCTTTCCTGCTGGGGTTGAAGGGGAAGGAAGAGAAGCATGGTTATCATTCTTTATGTTTTTCTTTTCAAGGCACCTCTCTTGCATTTCTCTACTTTTACTTGTTCTGTCTTGAGTGCAACTTATTTATGCCTACAATTATATTATTTTCTTTGCATGGATATTGGCAGCATTGGTATCAGTTTGGTGCGTTGCTTTGTAAATAAGCTAATTTCTGTCTAGTTTTCTTTTTTATTTTTGTTATTAACTGCTAAGAGGTTCTTTTTTGTTGCAGGGGTTGCATAGAAGGTTTAGGCAGAATGTCACTCTAATGAGTGTATGCAAGGAATCTTCTTATGGTAACATCAGTCTGTTTGATTCTGATTCTGACAAAAAGCGGAGTTGTGTTCCTCCATTTGCCCTTTCTTTTGCTGCTGCACCCACTTTCTTTCTTAGTTTGCATCTTAAGCTGCTTATGGAAAATAGCCTGGCTAACATGAACTTTTCTGACCATTGTTTGTTGGAGCACATGGAAAGTTTTGGGGGTTTGACAGTGGATGAATGCTCTAGCATAGTGGACTGTTCGAACAGATGTCATCAAAGTACTTTTGAGAATAATTTGAAGGAACTGTCAGAGGATGCTACTTGTCATGCATGCTTGTCTAGTGCTAAATCAGAGTTAAAAACTGGTGATTTCTCTGGTTCCAGTGGTAGACATTGGGATATGTCATCTGGGAAGTGTCCAAATGATGCTGTGGATGTTGCTGGAACTTCTGCCAGCTCCCATGGCCTTGAAGAAATTGTAAGTGAATCTATTGTTCCCTTGAAGAAATGGCAGTGTCAGCAGCCAGAGTCAGAACAATGTGTTTCATCATCAAGTCCTTCAGTTGATAGAGACAAAGCTGATGTTGAACGTGATTCTCTTTTTGATGATATCAGGGTTGAAATTCCTATTAACCAGACAGAAAAAAATGTTGATAGGGAACTACATGGTCCTCAACAATCAGCAGATCTAACTTGGAATGTGAATGGTGGTATTATTCCAACCCCAAATCCAACTGCTCCTAGAAGTACGTGGCATCGAAATAGAAGTACTTCTTTGTCACTTGGGTACCTCTCTCATGGATGGTCAGAAGGAAAGGCCGACTTTTTGCATAATAATTTTGGAAATGGACCTAAGAAGCCACGTACTCAGGTCTCATACTCATTGCCTTTTGGAGGTTTTGATTACGGCTCAAGGAGTAAGGGCCATCATCAGAAAGGGGTTCCTCACAAAAGGATTAGGCGGGCTAGTGACAAGAGATCAACTGATATTTCTAAGGGTTCTCGAAAAAACCTGGAGTTGTTATCTTGTGATGCAAATGTTTTAGTCACACTTGGCGACAGGGGATGGAGAGAATGCGGGGCACAGATTGTGCTAGAGCTTTTTGATCATAATGAGTGGAAGCTTGCTGTAAAAATTTCTGGGGCTACAAAGTATTCATACAAGGCGCACCAATTTTTACAGCCTGGGTCTACAAACCGGTTTACTCATGCAATGATGTGGAAAGGAGGGAAAGACTGGACCTTGGAGTTTCCAGATAGAAGCCAATGGGCTCTTTTCAAGGAGATGCATGAAGAGTGTCACAATCGAAACATTCGTGCTGCTTCAGTAAAAAACATCCCAATTCCTGGGGTTTGCTTGATAGAGGAAAATGATGACAATGGAACGGAAGTACCATTTATTCGCAGCTCCTCTAAGTTCTTTCGGCAGCTTGAAAATGATGCTGAAATGGCTTTGGATCCATCACGTGTCTTGTATGACATGGATAGTGATGATGAACAATGGATCCTGAGAACTCGTCAGTGTTCTGAGGTTGACAATGGCAGCTCATGGGATATTTCTGAAGAAATGTTTGAGAAGGCAATGGACATGTTTGAGAAAGCTGCATACGTGCACAAGCGTGATCATTTAACATCTGAGGAAGTAGAAGACTTCATGGCTGGAGTTGGGCCTATTGCCATAATTAGAAGAATCTATGAGCACTGGAGGCTGAAAAGGCAGAGGAATCGAATGCCATTGATTCGCCATCTCCAGGTATTTTGTCTATTTCCTGCCTGTCTTTTATGGTTTAATTATACACTGCTCCTATGTAATGTAAGCTGATTGAAGATTGCACATCATCTTCTTTGGAAAAATGATATCTTGTTTGCTTTTCATGTATCAGCTTATGCCTTTTCTCAATTGTATTTTCATGCTTTTTCTGACCCTAGAACTAGTCTTTTCACCTTACCTAATATCTGTAAGTAGGAATTGGCTCATTCTGAAAGATAGTGATGATGGATATTAGTAGTGGGAAGAAATTTTACTGGGAATCAAATTGAGCCTGGAAGGGAATTAGTGGTGAGAAAAAGCATGTGGCCCATCTTCTATATTCTTTGGAAAAATTTGCGACTTTTTGACTTTCTGAATAACATGTACATATTTTTGCATACGGGTTGGTACCCTATTGGTAGTTGTATTTAATGGCATATACTGCATTTTTATTTTTTTTTAGAAATTTTTTTTCCTGGGGATCAAAACTGTTGTGAACTGGACAGATTTAGTGCTGAAATTTCTGTTAGAGCATAAACTCATTGATTCTGCTCTTATGCTTGTAGTTGTGTAATTTTTGTGTGCTAGGTTTTGTTTATTGAGAAGAGCATTATTTAGCTGGATGGATCCTCTGACTAGGAAGGGTGTTTGCTTTCTTAAAATTTGCTGAGTTTATCGTTTGTTGTTCATCTCTTGCTCATAGAACTTCTTGCTGTCATATGTTGGGGTATGTTGGGGATAATCTAATTAGTTTTCATTTCTTCTTGGCAAGGTTGAGTAAGATAATACTTCGAGACGTTTCATTCATTCTTTGAGTTGCATGTTGCACTGGTAAAAATTCCACCATGATTAAAAAGATCTAAGTTAAGTCTTGTTAGTTTACAAAATTAAATAGGTAATATTTTAAGGATTTATCTTGTTTATCGAAAAAATGGTAAATTGAAGATCAAAATTGCAGGTAAAAATTTTCCAAAAAAAAGCAGGTAGAAGGCTTAACGATTCTTCTTACTGCATCAGGCATATCTTTCCTTGTTTGGGTAGGATAGCAGCACGTTTGTCTTCACTATTGTGCTAAATTTTGTTAATAAATTTATTAAATCTTACACATATGTATATGTTTTCTTGCGTATTACAGTTTCCCTCTTATCAACATTCTCTTGACACACTGAGTTGGTTTCCATTTAGTAGATTGTTAAACCTTCTTTGCGGCCCTTTCGAGTTGGTTTTGATTTGTAAATTGTTTAGACATATTTGCATGTGCAATGAGGGGTGTGTTTTTCTTAACTCTAGGAATGTATCTTGAAAACTTGTACCAGACAGTTTTCAGCAGCGGTCCTTGTAGTCAACTGCAATTTTCATTTGATTACGTTGTGTTGAAAATCTGTTTTTCTTATTGCTGATTCAAAGTTGTGGAGGGTCGTTAAAGAAACAATTTACCTGCATTTCCTTAAGCTCTCTTTCTGCTTATGTTCAAACTTTTAGCTTTATTTTGTCTTTTGTGGAACGGTTTGTGGCTTTCCTGCTCTAACCGTAATTTTTCCTGGATTTAGCCGCCACTATGGGAAAGGTATCAGCAGCAAGTTAGAGAGTGGGAGTTAGCCATGACCAAGATCAATACCACCATTAGTGGTGTCTGTCAAAAGAAGGCTGCAGCTGTTGAGAAGCCAGCCATGTTTGCTTTCTGTTTGAAACCACGAGGCTTGGAAGTGCCCAACAAGGGATCAAAACAGAGATCACAGAAGAAAATTTCAGTTTCTGGGCAAAATATCACTGCATCTGGAGATCATGATGGATTACATAATTTTGGTACTTCTCTTAACTTGTACACGTTGTGTAAAAATTTCAACCTCCAGTATTAACCTGTATCTGATTTATTTTGTTATACCAGGAAGAAGATCAAATGGCTTTGCTTCTAGCGATGAAAAAGTCTTGGGCCCAGGGCACATCTATGAATCTCTAGAGGAATGTCCATTGCCTCAGACATCACCAAGGGTATTTTCGCCTCGGGATTCTAGCATTATGGGTTATTTCTCTGTGAATGGTGATGGATATGATAGGAGTCATCAGCAGAAACTTCAAAGGAGCAAGTCAAGGAAATTTGGGGCTTTTGTATCTTCTTCGTACAATCAGAGACTAATGGGCAGGAGGAATGGAATTCATCGATGGAACACAGGCTATTCTGATTGGCCAAGCCCACGTCTCTACTATTCAGATGGTCCTCAGAGACATAACCAGGAAAATTTGAATGGCTCTGATCTTGATGAGTTCAGGTTGCGTGATGCATCAGGTGCAGCTCAGCATGCGCTTAACATGGCTAAGCTCAAGAGAGAAAAAGCTCAGAGGTTGCTCTACAGAGCAGATCTAGCAATTCACAAGGCTGTGGTTGCTCTCATGACTGCTGAGGCCATTGAAGCTTCTTCTGAGGACTTTGGTGATGGATAGAATGACAAGAATGAATATGAGATGATGAGGGAAGAAAGGAACTGGCCAACTGTGGCCAAGAGATCTTAAGATAGGACACTGGTTTTGCTGGAAGGATCTGTTTTTTCCTGGTCAATGGTGGTGGCCTCGTGGCATCATATATATATAGGAGAATCTAATCAGAGAGCTGTGTCATCATGACGAGATATTTTCACTTGTGCCACATATTGTGGTCTTTTCTTGTGCAACTTCACAGTTTTGCCACCCACTAGTTCTTTTGTTTAGTCCAAGCAGCAGTTTGCTCAGATCAGTGGCAACTGTTCTATTGATCCTGCAGGTAAGGGTGTATGAATTTTTTGGCTGCCAATCTCTGTACAGAAAAATTTTCCTCCCCCTCTTTTTTTCTTTTCATTCCCTCCTTATCCCTGGAATCGAAGTAGCAGTTGGCCTGAATCATATATACACCCTTTAGAATGAAATGAAAAATTTCTCTCTGAAAAATGGAGAAAAAAAAATTCTGTAAGTAATTATTTTATAGTTTCATAGAGATTCATGAAGAGTTTAGGAATCTGTTGCTTCCCCTTGTTGCATATTTTAATCAGTAACTAATCTTTGTCAAGCAATAGATTTGCATCTTGTGGTTTGTTCTGCCCATGTTAATTTATGTTATGTTTGAGGAAGTACATATTATTGTCAGCCAGGTAGTTAACTACGTGGTAAACCGAAGCGAAAGAATTTTCTTTTTCATATAGTAAGTGCATAATACTTGTCAGATCAGGTTATTATGTGAGATTCGGTCGAAACACGTGGTTCTGTTGCAGAGATTCTGTTGCAAACATGAACCGTGGTCATTGTGCTGCAGATTGATGTGTTTTTTGGTTGTTTGAGTTGGGTTATGCTGCAGCTAAGGGTGAGCAATTCTCCAAAATAGAAAAAAATTTGGAATTGAGGACTGGTTGATGTAGTTTTGATCAGAACGGATTAGAGTGGAAAAATTTTAGTTCAGTCCAGAGTGAAATATATCAAAATTTTCTCACACATTCACACTTCACACTTTGTATATGATACACAAACAAAAAAGTAGATCCACACTTATTCCTACTCAATATGTATATATTAATATATACATACATACTGTAGCGGAGCAACTCCACAGTCCTGCATGGACTTGAAGTGGCTTGAATCTTGAGTTGCTGGCTCCCGTGCTGGCCGGAGAAGCAGAGAAAAATCGGTAAATCTCTGACTCTTGTGTATAATTTAATTTTGAACTAATTAGAACTTGATCAAACTAGAATGAATCCAGACCGAAGCATAATTTGGTTCGAATATTCAATTAATGCTCCTTCCTAATCATAGTTTAATAATTAAAATATTATAATTAGAATTTTTAAACTGAATTGAACAATACTCTGTTCTTAATTGTAGTCTAGTAATTAAAATATTATAATAAAATATGAATAATATAAATTAATAAAATAAACTCTGAACGAAGTAGATATTATTATTATTTCTTACTACTTTTATTTAATTTATAAAAAGCACAAGATAAGAGAAACTCAAAATTTTATATTTAAAATATTTTGATCAATCAAAATGTTAGAATGAGTCTTTTTTTTTTTTTTTTTTTTAAAAAAAAAAATCTATAATGTATTATACACTGAATTTCATATGGTATTTATTTATTTTTGTTGTTTCAAATAAATTTTATAAACCTCCAAGTGAAATATAATTTCAAATATTTACGTATTTAAAATTTCAAATGGTTAAATTAGAGAGATTTTGACGTTCAATGTCACATCCATTCCATCATTTTAAGCCGTGCATCAAATTCCAAAGTAACCAAATTGGATGGATGGCTTCCCTCCCACGCTAATTTCTTGGTTAGCATCACAGCCCTGTTACAATTAGGACATCACAGTGAACTGAAATTTGGGTTTATAAAGAAATAACCTGCTCCAATCATATGACGTTGTGACCGTAGCCTTGGTCAACGGCGGTATAAAGATGCCTTCGCCTAAAACTAGTGGCTTCTTTTGCTCATGTATTGACGGCCTCTCACAAAACTAAAGGACAAGACGCATTAAATTCTTCTAAAAAGATGCATTTTCCATGCTTTTTTTTTTATAACCTAAATAGTGGGAAATTTAAGAATACATATAAAATTACAATTTTATTCAAATTTATAATTTTTTTTTTAAAAAAATTACTAATTATTAAATTAAATAATTATGAATCTTATAAAAAAAAATTAACTATTAAAATAAATAATTATTAATTTTATAATTTAAAATTTGAATATGTAATCATGTATTATAAATACTTCTAAAAAATACATTTTTATACTTATTTTTTGTAATCCTTGTTACTTTAAATATTGAGAAATTTAAGAATATACATAAAATTATAATTTAATTTAAATTTACAATTTCTTATAAAAAAATTTATTAACTATTAAATTAAATAGTTATTGAAATATATTACAACATGACATGACATGAAATGTCTTATAAAAAAAATTTATTAATTATTAAGATAAATAGTTATTAATCTTGTAACTCAAAATTTGAATATATAGTTATTTATTATAATTATAAAAAAATTATAAATATAAAAAATCTAAAATATAATTTTAAGTTAAGTTAAAGATTTAATTCGAATATAACTATGAAATTATTCAAAAAAAAAAAAACGATTATATCTCAAAATTTAAAAAATAAAATTCTTTTAATAAAAATAAATCTCAAGCTTAAATATAATGATATTAAATTCCATGCCTAAATTCTAAAATACTTTTTTTTTTCTCATCTATTTTTTATTTTTTTAGGGTTCTTGAGTGTTTTTTAGTCCAAAATTTAAAATATAATTATATATATATATATATGGTGAGTCTCTACCTCATATTAAAAGGTCTAACAATTTATACTTAATTAAAGATTAATGTTAAATTTCATAAAATAATCATCCAGTTACTTTTTAATTAGTAATACTTTTTTTAATGGATGGCTGATAAAATTATATTAGTCAGCAACTTATTACCATTTCCATATAGTAAGAAGGTTGATTATGCCTATAAGCAAGGTACATATATATATATATATATTGTAGTTTTTGAAATGTTAGCTGTCATGAACAGCTCCCATGTATTTTCTTGTATTTAATGCAATTCTCTTCTAATCTTTCTCACACGTCAACATAAATCCTTTCACAGGGAGAAAGTTTTATTTATTTAAGGCACCTTCACCGCTGCAGACGCCATTACAGTCTGCCATGGACACCCCCAATCAGTTCAGCATTCTCCATAAACTCAGAAACAACTTGGTTTTTCGGTCCAAATGGGCAGAGATAAATGGAGCAATGGGAGATTTGGGCACATATATACCAATAGTATTGGCCCTGACATTAGCCAAAGACCTCAACTTAGGCACCACCTTGATTTTCACCGGCATCTACAACATCATCACAGGAGCCATTTATGGTGTGCCAATGCCCGTCCAACCCATGAAATCAATTGCTGCAGTTGCTATTTCTGATGGGTTGGATTTTGGTATCCCTGAAATCATGGCGGCCGGGATTTGCACAGGAGGGATTTTGTTGCTTCTGGGTCTTACAGGGTTAATGCAGTTAGTCTACAATCTTATTCCTCTATCTGTTGTGAGGGGAATTCAGTTGTCACAGGGCTTGTCATTTGCCATTAGTGGTGTCAAGTACATTAGGAATATTCAGGATTTTTCGAAGTCCAAGTCTATTGGGAAGAGGCACTGGGTGGGATTAGATGGGTTGGTTTTGGCTATTGTCTGTGCTTGTTTCATAATTCTTGTTAATGGCTCAGGTGAGGAAAGGGAAGAAGAGGAGAGTAATTGTGATGGAGAGAGAACCAGAAGAAGCAGGAGATTGAAGAAAATCATAGCCAGTATTCCCTCAGCTTTCATTATATTTGTGGTGGGTGTGGTTTTGGCATTTATAAGGAGGCCTCAGGTGATTCATGACATCAAATTTGGCCCATCTCATATTGAAATAGTGAAAATTTCAAAGGATGCATGGAAAGAAGGATTCATTAAGGGCACGATTCCCCAACTCCCACTCTCAATACTCAACTCAGTTATTGCTGTGTGTAAGTTGACATCTGATCTTTTTCCAGGAAAGGATTTTTCAGCAACCTCGGTTTCCATGACGGTGGGGCTCATGAACTTGGTAGGGTGTTGGTTTGGTGCCATGCCATGTTGCCATGGTGCAGGGGGGCTAGCAGGGCAGTACAAGTTTGGTGGTAGGAGTGGTGGGTGTGTAGCAATTCTTGGCGCAGCTAAAGTGGTGTTGGG